TCTGATTCTCTAATCCCTTATGCCAATTTTGTGTTAACCTTCTTGTCCTGGGTTCAGCTGAGATAGAGCTCCCAGACAACTGTAAACCCACCACACTTCTATAAAGTTATTCCTGATTTACAGAACTACATAGGGAAGAATCAGCTCGAAGATTTGTACCCCTTTAGCAGTTGCAAGCAGAGATACTTTTTGTGGTTCTGAATTAGTAAATTGGGACTTGGCTAAAACAGAGGAGGAATAGTTATTAGGAATAGGCATTCCTTACAGTCAGTGGTGTTATTAAATACATAATTCTATATATGTTTAATTTTTCATAGTTTGTAAAGGACAGCCCTGACCTATGCACCACTTGTATATCTTCCTTCCTGTTTTTGTTGAGTTTCTTGCAAATAAATTCTGCTTTTCTCTTTTTGTTGCATGAACAACAGGGGCCATGTACTGGGAATCAGCAAAGTCTGGCACACAGCAGGCTATGGGATGCTGTAGTTGGTTTTCTTCATGTGTTTGCCCACATGCAGATGAAGCTGTCTCAGGTATCTTTTTGTTTTACTTTTTCCCTTTTAAGTTACTAAATGTTTTGTAAAAGGTAGACACACTTGTTAATATGTTCGAGTCATTAATTAAACAACAGTTAATAGTGGAAATATGAGGAAAAATAAGAGACAGAGGTGATAGAACACAATAGGGTCAAAGGATTCAATTATAGAATTGTAGTGGGTGTAAATAGCAGGCCACAGGTACAAAGCTGATTAGGTCAAGCTGCACCTAAAGCATATCACCAGCATTCAGAAAGAACTAGCCAGTTCCTGCCTTTCATACCAAAGTTCTGTCACATTTTTATTTCGGCAATTTTGCACGAGTGGCCTTTTATGGAGGGCCTGTCATCATTGATTCAAACCTAGTTAACCATTATTGGATCCTAGTTCCATCCATGTCTGCATCTAAGCCTTTTCTACCCTTAGCAGAGAAAGAGGGTAATCAGACCTTAGAATGGGTGAATTGCTTTTGGATGTGAGTGCTCATTTCGTGAACTATAGAAATAATGTAGGGGATTGGCATAGACAGATCTTTGGGGATTTAAAATTAGGTCAGAAGGATCCTATACTTAAGCAGTGCATTTTTCAACTCTTACTTTTCTAAAAGAATTACACATCTTAATTGAATGTAGTGATTCTAAATTTTTTACATAATTTGACATTCTCAGAGAGAAGTGTCTCGGGCTTGTAAAGGTTTAATTGTTGTTAAGGAATACAGCTCTGAAGGTTCTGAGGCTTTTATATTTCATTGTTTGGCTCCAAATGTATTCGTATAAGTATTCTCTGCATAAAATAAAGTAGTCTTGGTCAAATGATTTTCCTCCCAACCCTTGGGACTTCAGGGCTGAAAGTAGGCTGTTTGCTTAGCTTTGTAGACTTTGTGCTACAGGTGTGCTTCTCACTCTTTATGGCTAAATAGAGGTCTTCTTCCAACAAATGGCATCACAGTGAAACCTGTTTTTCAAGAGTGATGCACTGAATTTCTACTGAAGTGTATTTATGAGTGCCTGCAGATTCTGTCCTGGTTTTGGAACATCTTTGTTATTTTAAGAATTGAAAAAAACAGTCAATATTTGGGTAGGCCACAGTGGTGGCTTTTGTGCTTTCTTCCTGTACCACTAAAGCAATATGGAAAGCTGTATCTAAGTGGCTACTGACAGTGAGTCCAACACATGGTATCTATGTGTTGATTGAGAAATATGATGTTGCTATTGTCAGGATTTGTTTTTGCCGTAATGACAAGTTTATAGTCTCAGCTGTGCCTGGAGTCACTTTATAACATCTTTTAATTACTGAATCTAGAAAAATGATGATACTCATCCTGCCACTTCAGAGAGAGCCAAGCAGCTTTGCTCAGCAAGATCCACTGTTGTGTGTGGAGTTATTTGTGCTGCTCTGTGGGATGACAGAAACACAGTCTGTTCCAAATGTATGATAAACAGTGATGGTGTCCTTCTCTTGTGTGGAGTGCAAGCTCTTGGCTTTTGGGAGCTCCTTTAGGGGGCCAGCAGAGCCTTGGGAAAGACCAGAATAGATGTGGGCTCTTTTGTTCATTTATATTTGTTGCAAGAACATATTAATAAGCTTTTCAGAGTCTACTCAAATACCAGTTTTCTAAGGTGTAGAGTGTGGCTAAATGGATTTATAAAGAGTTGCCATATGGCTTTGTCTGTAGGACGGGCCTCCCTAAGATAAGTATTTGGTTTTGTTTTGAATCGGGAGTTTCCAGAGCAATTGGAGAATATTTCAAACAAGATTTAAATAGGAATGGAACTAAATCACTGTTTGGTTTGGCGTTTAGTTTTGGTTTTTTGTTTTGTTTTGTTTTGTTTGCATTGTCCTTCTCTAGTCTTTTACTAGGAAGCAGCAAGGTGATATTGGTAATACTTCTTAAGAAATCTCTGTAAGGCAGAAAATTAAAGCAAAATTTTCAATCTAAATGAACAAAAATCATCCAGGTTGTAAGCAACTTTTGAAGTGACAAGATTTATAATGAAAATTAACAAGATAAATAAATTAGAGATATTTATTATTTCCAGCTTGTGCTGTTTTCAATCCAAGATCCAAATTGCTGTAAAGTACCTTGAGTTTGTTGTGCTAATCACTGAAGTCCTGCAATGCTCAAGTGTTCCTTATCAATGGCATGAGGCAACAATGTGTCGTTGAGGAAGAAATTCTGTAGTTGAATAAATCTATCCAGATAGACTCCAGGTTGAAGTAATTGTCAAGTAAAATAGTAGACTTTATAAGCTGAATGAGATAAAAGATGCCTCAGAGAATCAATGTCATGTCTATTTAAGGATATTCTAGTGGAAATATTTTGAAATTTTGTTTTTACTTTTGTTTCTGCCCCAAAAAAGTTCAGTGGCCTATAATGGAACCATTCACTTTGAAACATGTTACACTTTGAGCTCTGTGTGCTGCTGCTGCCATTGTTTTTACAAGACTTCGTAGCTGTAAGCTTGATTACACCAACAGTGACAATAATTTAGGTGACATGAAACATTACAGAAGCATCATCTGTGAGCTTGACATGCCCAGTTATTGCTTTGAATTTTTTCATCACCTTCAGTTTTCACTTTGTCTTTATTAAATTGCTGTCTTCTAAACAGACGATCATGTAAATGTTTGATCCTGCAAATGTACTGTAAGGAATCAAGCAATTAAATATAGTTCCTCTTTATTGCCAGCTTTGACACTATTAGCTTCTTAATTTCTAAGTCTCATTTTTACAGGGTGAAATATGCATGCACATATATAAATGTCAAGAAGTCAGTAGATATCATATATATTGTGTTCATTATTTAGGATTCCAGTCAAATTGAATTACTGAAGGAATTAATGGATCTTCAGAAGGATATGGTTGTCATGCTGCTGTCTATGCTGGAAGGTAGTCAAAATTTAATTTGAAATCCTCATTCACAGTTGCTGTAGCAAAGTTTTTACCTTTGTGATTTTCTTCATGTGAGAAATAATGCTCCATTTTCCTTCACATTTTTAATTTTCATGTCTGAATTGTGAGAAGAATTGTTAGTTATATATTGTAGTTGATACAGTTTGTATTAATTCTGAATGTCAAAACTGTATAAAATTCAGCTCTGGCAGAAGTTTTACTTTGTTTTCATGAACCTGGCTTCTCTTTTGGCTTAGCTGAAAAGTTTTTTTACTGTTGAAGTTGGAATCCTGAGTTCTAGGAGCTGAACCATTTATCAGTCATTTTATTAACACCTTTACTATGTTTTATTTGTTTGGGTAGTGCTCTTAGCCATAAATAACAGGCTTTGATTCATCTAGTGGCTAGGTTCAAGGTCCTTTATAGTTACTACCTGAAATTATGATTCTCCAGAGACTGTGATGATTGTCAAGAAATACTACTATTTCTTTAGCTCCATATGGTATTGTATTAGTGCTTCCAATACTACACTGACCAGGCATACACATAGATTATCCAAAGATCTGGTTTTCCTCTTTGCTTCTTACACGTGTCCTGTCCCATTAATTTTCTTGATAGAACAGGGAGGCAATTCTCTAGCACAGATTGCAGTGCAGCATGCATTCCTGGTGCTACTGCTTTGCTCATAGAAGGTCACTGAGAAGGAAAGTAAATTCCTAGTAATGAAGGCTGTGCTTCGTGAGTAACCTACTGAGCTACTCATCCTAATGACTGTGACACTAGTTCTGTCTATGTTGCATTGTAGTAAAATTCATAGTGTGCTAACCCATGTTTAGTCAAATTGGCAAATACTTAGTCACATTTTTTTCAAAGTCTCAGGGTAGTGCTGTTAGTAAAAGATTTCTGATTTTACAGCTGACTTTCTCATGTGAGTGTATTAGCCAGTAGTTTGTCATTCTTACTGTTTGATTATTTTAAACTAGTCATTATTATACACTTTGCAAAAAAAACCATTTTCTGCTGTCAGTGTCTCTAACTTCATGTCATCGCATCTAGGTAACGTTGTGAATGGAACTATTGGCAAGCAGATGGTCGATATGCTTGTGGAGTCGTCCAACAATGTGGAGATGATTCTGAAATTTTTTGATATGTTCTTAAAATTGAAGGATTTGACTTCTTCTGATGCATTCAAAGAATATGACCCTGATGGTAAAGGGATAATTTCAAAGAGGGATTTTCACAAGGCAATGGAAAGCCATAAGCATTACACCCAGTCTGAAACGGAGTTTCTCCTATCATGTGCTGAAACAGATGAGAATGAGACTCTGGACTATGAGGAATTTGTGAAACGATTCCATGAACCTGCCAAAGACATTGGTTTCAATGTTGCTGTTCTCTTGACCAATCTGTCAGAACACATGCCCCATGATACCCGCTTGCAAACTTTTCTTGAACTGTCAGAAAGTGTGCTGAATTACTTTCAGCCTTTCCTTGGACGCATAGAAATCATGGGCAGTGCCAAGCGCATTGAACGAGTTTATTTTGAAATAAGTGAATCAAGTCGGACTCAGTGGGAGAAACCTCAGGTAAAAGAGTCGAAGAGACAATTTATATTTGATGTTGTAAATGAAGGTGGGGAGAAAGAAAAGATGGAGCTTTTTGTTAATTTCTGTGAGGATACCATCTTTGAAATGCAACTGGCTGCCCAAATTTCTGAGTCAGATCTGAATGAAAGGTCAGCAAATAAAGAGGAGAATGAGAAAGATAAGCCTGAGGAACAGGATCCTAGAATAGGTTTCTTCTCTCTCATGACCATGAAGTCAGCATTAGTAGCTCTCAAGTGTAATTTAATGACTCTTATGAAAATGCTCAGTATGAAGAGCCTAAAGAAACAGATGAAGAAAGTAAAAAAAATGACCATGAAGGACATGATCATGACTTTATTTTCTTCCTATTGGAGCATTTTGATGGGCTTACTACATTTTGCCTGTAGTGTTGTCCGGGGCTTCTTTCGCATCGTATGCAGTTTACTGCTTGGAGGAAGCCTAGTAGAAGGAGCAAAGAAAATCAAGGTGGCTGAACTGTTAGCTAATATGCCAGATCCCACTCAGGATGAGGTGCGTGGCGAAGGAGAAGAGGGCGAGAGGAAGCCAACAGAAGCTGCATTGCCTACAGAAGACTTGACAGATCTGAGAACTTTATCAGAAGAGAGTGATCTGCTTTCAGATATATTTGGTTTGGATTTGAAACGAGAAGGTGGACAGTATAAATTGATCCCTCACAATCCAAATGCTGGTTTGAGTGATCTGCTGGGCACTCCCTCCTTGGCTCCAATGCCTGAGGTGAAGGAAAAAGTCCAGGTAACTGTATCTTTTATTTTTGCTGTGTGTTTCTCTTTCATATGTTAAGTGAAGTCTTGAAACAAAACCTGCATATATTTTTTTTTTGATTTTGTGACTTTTTTTAAGGAATCACATATAATTACTGGTGTTTACTCTCTCTGACATCATCAACTTGAATTCCCACAGCCTTCTCTAAGTACACAGTGTTTTGATTTGCTTTTAATTCAGTGTTAGAATGTCTCCTTGTTAATGTAAATTAAAAAAATCATCTTCTCTCAGCATTTCAGTTGTTTTTAAAATAACCCAAAGCCTAACATTCTGCAGTCTGTACATCATTTTAACTAACTCTGTATTCTATAGTAGTGTTTAGACACTTTTTAAATCTGGCTTTCTGTAGGAGCAGGTGAAAGAAGATGAAAAGGAAGAGAAGGAGGAAACAAAATCTGAACCTGAAAAGGCAGAGTATGTATTACTTTAACTTGTGATCCTACAAAATGTGGGTTTTTTTCACTGAAAAAACAGGTCTTCTCACTTCTGTTACTTGGATTTTGTGTCCATTCATGTTCCACAGTTAGGATTTTTTTTAACCATCCTCCACATCCATGCACCGTTGCAGGGAAATGTCATGTAAATAACATTTCTCAGAGATTTTATGAATTTCCCTCTTCCGGAAGCATCCTTCATAATGTTGATTTAGTTTATTTTAGAATGTGTTTGATTAAGGTCTTCTTGGCAAGTCTGAAAGCGAGAAGAAAATATCTTGGAAAATTGTAAGAGGACCTGGGTTCCAGAGACTTTTTGTCCATCAGTGGTAGACGCTGAATCTGTTTTGTCCTCACCATTTGCTATGACCTGTTTGGAGTTATTTGGAGTTTGCAAAACCTTAATGTTCCAATGTAATTTTCATTAGTTACTGGGTACTCTCACATTTGTATGAAGAACTAAGTGTTAGCATTTGAGAAATGATCATTTTAGTCTTTTTTAGGATATGTTAAAATCTAATGTTAATGAGATTAACTCAGAATAAAAATAGTGGAAAGCAAAACATAGTGCTTGGTTTTAACCAGTAAAAAGTATGGCACTCATCTGTGTTTTATGGATCCTAATACATGTACAATTCTGATAGGTGTACGGTACCTGTAGCTGATACACCACTGTCAAAATTCTAAGTGGGTCCCTTTGTCTCAAGCTCTATCCTTATTGCAATCCTTGATGATAAACACTTGCCAATAACAAAAACTCTTCTTCCTAATCAGTACAGAAAATTCCTAACTTAGCCAGTATAACTTTGTGAGGGACAGTCTTGCTGACTTTTGATTGCTCTGCTTGACTGTGTGACACCTGTATTTTCTGGGAGGAGTGTGGTGCCTGGCGCTGAAGCCACTCCTAATGTAAGGCAAACTTTCAAGTGAACTTTCAAGTGAAAATTTGTCGAGTGTATTCTATTAAGAGAAGCAGCTTAGGACATCAGTTATTCTGTTTGTAGATAGGTATAGAGAAATTAATAATGTAACTTATAAGTTGCCTCTCACTCTGGTTTGGCTTCAAATGGAATTCTGTGATCCTTTCGTCTTGCGTACTGTCAGGTCAAATTAACTTTCAAGATAATTCACAGTTCCTTAGATCATGTGTTTGGAGAAGGCAGCCCACTATGACTTTCTGTAATCGGGCAGTGTGGTGATGATAATCACACATCAAATGCTGTCAAGCTTTCTTATTCATGTCTCCTCCTAGGGTGGGTACTTATTAATTCCTCAGGTGGGCAGAAATGAAATATTTAAAATTTTAGGTTTGGCTTGTAAATGCAAGAAGAACCAAAGTTTTCTGCAACCTGTGTAGGAACCAGGTAGTTCAAGTACATGAGGTTGGAGGGGAGCACTTATATATAGGCACTCATACAGACATGCAGCTGTCAGCTTACAGATGTTTCTCAGTGCAAGTATTAGCTGCACAATTATAAAGCAGACCCTCAGGTAACAAGGTTGGCAGATTCTTGTTTACCTGCCTCTACCAGTTAGCATCCTCACTTCAGAGTGCCAAACAAGTAAGCTGAATTATCTGTAGACTTAAAACCAGACTGTCAGCCTTGCCAGCACTTTGGGCTGAACAGGGTATGTCTCCTTGTTATTCATGTGTGTGCACTGCATGAGTCACGACGAATTGAGCCTCATGAAAAGATGCAATGGTCTCTTTCAGGGTGTGGTTTTGATTTTTTTGTTTAGCTATTTTATTAGCTTGACATATTATTTTGACTTCATTTGTGTCCTAAGAGGAGAAGATGGAGAAAAGGAAGAGAAAGCCAAGGAAGACAAAGGAAAACAGAAATTAAGACAACTTCATACTCACAGATATGGAGAACCAGAAGTTCAGGAATCAGCTTTCTGGAAGAAAATCATTGCATACCAACAGAAGCTTCTTGTAAGCTGTTCTCTAGACTATTTGTTCAGCTGTTGGCAGCGATGTGTACCACTATATTATTCTACAAATGTAAAGGCAAATTTGCATCTGGTGAACCTCATTTTTCTATTCACCATCATCCATCAAAATAACATAAAGGCAAAGGTTTAACTGGAATGCTGGAGAAGAGAAACACACAAATAACTTTCCAGAGAAGACATTAATTCTCAGTAAGAAAATTGTTGTCCAAAACCCAGACCTTCAGAGGTGCCTGTCCATCACTAGAAAACAGCCATACATGTTTATGTGAATAAAATGCCCCAATTTTTAAAACAGTTTGGATGTCTCTTTCCTTGAGACACAACTTTGGGAAATGACAAGCTCTCTTGTAAAAAAAAATAAAAATATTAAGATACAATGCTTAGCCTAAAACTCATAAGAAAAGACGTTACAGATTTTTTTTTGTGAAATAGCAAGTTATTATTTAAGAAACTTCTCAAAACCTGTGGAAAATAAGACTAATTAAAATTGTATAACTATATCTGAGAGTGTCTCAATAAAATATGATATCCCTGAGTTTGCTGTAGAACTACTTAAAATCCACGCTTTTATTAGGTAGGAGATTCCACACATATTCTGTGAGGCTAGAGTGAAATCCAAAGCAAAAAGAACTACACTTTTGCAACCTACTTCTAATATGAGTAACGCAGCAAAACTACAAAACTGCAGTCACAATCTTAAAAAGAAACTAGGTGTTAAATTTTTGCTTTTGAACTCGGATTTGTTTTTTAGGCTAATCATGTAGCAGTCATGAGAATTTAATTTCATTTTTCTTCTAATAGTCTCATTTAGTAATTCAATAATAGTCATCCATGGTTAGGGCTGAAAAATGGAGGAATTCCCATGTGAGAGTTAAAACATTAAAATTTTGTGCTAGAGAGGTTTGTGAATTGTCAGGAAGGGAGAAGGTACATTTTTGCAATCCTTTTGCTAGCAT